TTGTTTTTACAAACTCCTTTATGTTCTGTTTTTCTGGGAATATCTTGATCTCTCTTTCATATTTGATGGACAGTTTTACTGGGTACAGTATTTTTAGTTGATAGTTGTGCTCTTTGAATATTCGATATATGTCATTCCACTATCTTTCTTGCTTGGTTTCTGCTGAAAAATAGGTAATTAATCTTATGTTCTGGCAAATTTGATGATGATATGCCTCAGTGTTTTTCCTTTGAGGTTTATTCTATGTGGTGTTCACTCAGTTTCTTGAATATATATTCTCTCATTCTTTATTATGCCTGGGAAGTTTTCTTCTCGTAAGGATTCCACGACTTTTTTCAATGCCTTTACTTGCTTCTTCCTGTTCTGGGATTCCAATGAGGTGCATGTTATTTCTCTTGATGGGGTCTCATGTTATTATTCTTAGATTTTCTTCTTTTTCCTTCCGTTTTGTTTCTGCTTTTTGCTCTAGCAGATTAGTAGTTACAATTCTATATACTATTTCACTAGTATGATGTTCCATCTCTTCACCTCTGTTCATGTGTCCCTCCATCATGTTGGCAGCATCTGAAAGCGTATACCTCATATTTTGGATCATGGTTTCTTGTTTTTCCAGTGCCTCTAGTGCCTCATTTGTTTTATCTGCATTGTTCTGCATTGTTTTTTTAAGCTTCTCCTGGTTTTTGCTTGTAGTGTCCTATAATTCTTCAAGTTTGTCTTTCACCCATTGAAAATATTCAATCATTGTTCTTTAAAATTCTGTGTCAGAAAGTTCCATCAGACTTTCTGGCTTCAGGTAATACATTGATACTATGTCATTTTGGGACGGTGATAGCTTGTGGGCTTGTGTAGGAAGTGGGAGGTAGTTTGCTTCTTTCTTGACATTGCTGTGGTAGAGGTTTTCATGCCTGAGATGATAGCTGGCTCTTGATCTGATGTCACTGTTCCAGAAGTTTGAGCAGGTGTGTGCAGATGCACATAGGGTGGGTGCAGGTGTTGATGCATGTAGGATGGACACACATGGTAACGCACACGGGGCATGGGGGGGGCACACACACCCAGACCCACGTGGGTGGGGGTGGGGTGTGTGCTATGGGAACCTGAATAGAAAGCAGGAAACCTCAGTTTTCCATTGGTCTACCTACCCAGTCAAGCTCAAGCTGTCTCTCCCACCTGCTTAAGGTAAAGAATTCCCACAGTTGGTCCAGCAATGTGCAGGATTCCCACAGTTGGTCCAGCAATGCGCAGTGATTCCCCCCACTAAGTACCTTACTCAAATTCCTGCTGTCCTACTTGTTCCTAGCAGATGGGTCCCACCATGACTCACTGCTCCCTGCTGAGGCTTACTGCTCCCCGTGAAGGCTCATTGCTTCCTGCTAAGGTTTGCTGCTCCCCACCAAGGCTCCCAAACAAATTATTTTAATAACATTTCTCATTCAAATTCCATCTGTTCTATGCTTGGCTCCCCCACCATTACTTTTTTCCCTTTTATGTACTGGAGCAATTTTTTAGAAAAATCGAAGATATTTTATCATTTCACTTGTGAATTTTAAATAGTAAATCTCTAACATGTATGTACTCTTTTGTTGTTGGGTTTTTTGGTGGTTTTTGTTTTGGTTTGTTTTTGTTTTGATTTGGATTTTAGCAAGCCAGCTGAAAAAGGTTTAACAAGCCAATCAAACAGAGTTATAACTAGTAAAAGGTATGTTGTGAAAAACAAAGAAAAGGGGAAAGACCCCTAGAAAGACAGAAATGAAGCCAAACCTTTCACAAACCTTGGTACACTGTCAGCAGAGAAGCATATGGACTCATTTTAAAACTATAACACAGCCACAATAATCATGATTAATATGGTCCAAATTAGGATTGTAAGCAAGATATCCTACATTACATTGGGGTGAAATTGCAAGTCTCTTACCCAACAGAATGGCCCTTCTGTTTCTGTTAATTGGTTAGTTTTTGTTGTTTTGTACTATTCATTTGTTGAGGAAAATGAGTCCTTTATCATGTAATTTAAGATATCTTTTAGCACATTTCCTTTTTTTCCTTGTTAACATCAAAATGCTACTAATTTTGTAAATCCGCTGTGTACTTAGAAGAGAGAATGCAAATGAGAAAGTCAAATTTTGGTCTTACCATGAAAATGCTTTTACCCATTCAGAATTGTTGAAAGGCCTCTAACCTTAAGGTTCCTGCCCCACATTTTGAGAACTTAAGTAATGGCATTTATAACAGGTAGTAGATGATAAAGATTCCTACATGTCGAACCATGAATGACAGTGAACAAAAGTCTCTTCCCCCTCATTATAAATTAAGGGCTCAAAACTTTTTGTCATTTTAAAAACCCTCAAATTCATTGCTTTCAAGTTGGAATAGAATGACCCTCCATTTGGTTTCCAAGAGTGTAAATTGCACAGAAGAGATTGCTTATCTTTCTCCTTCAAAGCTCATCATGCATTTGAACCACCAGAGAGTTGGGGCTTGTGGATTATCAGTACAACTCTCTTCAGACTTCTTCACCGGAATTCTGTTACCACAATGAGATACTATATAGTGTCTATTTGGAATACAATGCTTGGAAAGAAAAATCATAAGTATGAGTGATGATGTTTGAACTCCCATATAGTGCTGATGATATTGTTAAAAAGTTGCTGGTCACTTGACAAAACTAACTAGCATTTCTTCAAAGGTCAGCAGTGCAACAGCTGTGGAAAATGGTAAGGCACTTTAAAAGTTGGAAATAAAAATAATATATAATCTACCAATGTCAGTATATATCTTGGATAAATAAGAGCTGTGAGACAGACAAATATGTACACATCTATGTTCATCCAGGCACAATAGCTAAAGGATGGAAAGTACTTAAAGCTTATGAATGGATTAAACTATGGTATGCAGTGGTAAACAGAATACCGTGCAGCATTAATAAAAATGATAAATTGACCAAGCATTTCATAATGTTGTTGTTGTTGTGTGCCATCATCAAGTCACTTGCGACTCATAGCAACCTCATGTACAATAATCCTGAAACCTGCTCTATCCTGTCCCAACCTTACTGTCTCTGACATACCTACCTTCATTATACCAGTCGCTGAATCCATCTCATGGAGGGTCTTTCTCTCCTGCACTGTCTTCCACCCTCCCAAGCATGACGTCCCTCTCCAACTGCTAGTTCCTCCTTGAACAGAAAAAAAAAATTACGCTGAGTGCAATGTAAAACACAAAAGAAAATATATTTTAATAAAGAAAAGGTTTACACATAGAAAGAAACTTAGTTTAAGGTTAATGGAGGATAAATCACTAACAATAGAGTGGACAAATTAATTGTTCTGGGTGAAAGGATGGACAATATATTATAAGGAGTAGGCCACACAAAATGATCAAAACAAAGGAAATCACTGGGAGTAGCACAGAGTTAATGGCAACACATGGATATGGTCCTATTATGTGTAGATAGACATGCAAGCTGTTACATATGACTAATCCAATTGAACTAAATTCTTGAATATATACATGGATTTGACATGAAGGATACACACACACACACTAACTATATCTTGACCATAGTAAAGTATACAAGTTACAGAGTTTGGAAAACTTCTTGGCTATAACCAGACATCTTGAAAGAATGACTTGGGTTCTTAGGGCTTTAGTCTCAGAGGACATCAAGGAATAAAGACAGTGTTCTACATCTTGGTTTAATGAGTGGCAAGTGGGGCTTTAAAAAATTTGTACATGGCCATCTAAACTATTGGTCTCACCCCATCCTGAACAAAGAAGTGGGAAGATAAAACCACTTAGAAGCAACTAAGAACCCTGGCCATCACTGCTGATTGCTCTGAAAAGGGATCGCAGTAAAGTCCAAAGAGAATGGGAGGAAAATGTGGAAGAAACTGAGTCATAGAAGACTAAGCTTACTTTCCACCAGGAAAGAAACAAGTGGAACCTCTGAGGCTCTCGCCCTTGGATACTCTTTAAGCTTAACTCACCCCCATGACTCAACCTCTACCCAAACGTTGAGCCTGTAAGGTGAGCTGTTATACCTGGAAAGTACACATTACTCAGAACAATCAACCAGGAGCGCAAAAAGACAGCTTTTACCCAGGGATGAAGAAAAACCATAAACACAAAGTTAAGTGGGGAAAAAATATAGTGTGAATATTGCATGAAATGGCATCCACTTCCTAAACATCATACCTCTGGAACTCTATGAACTCCGAGAAACAGCGATAATTATAGAAAGGTTTCAGGTCTTTTGTTCATAAGGTTGCTATGAGTCGTACTTGATTTGGCAGCAATCAACTACAACAGCATTGCATAAACTAGGATGAATCTATGTATATGAATTGTTCAATGCTCAGAAAAAGTAAAAAGTTTTTTATTACAACTCAAATTATGATTTAGTAATTCCACACTTAGATATATACCCAAAATAATTTAAAACATGCCATACAAAAACCCTAATACAGATTTTCATAGCATTATCCATAATTGTCAAAAAGTAGATGCATGATTAAGTAAAATTAATTTACACATGCAGTGCAGTATTTCTCGTCAATACTAAAGGAATAATATAGATTAATTTATGTTCTATGAAAGGCCAAATATGATCCTGTCTTATATAGAGTGTTCATGATATGCACATCCATAGATACAGAAAGTAGTTTATTAACTGCTAGAATCTGGAAGGAAAAGAATACAGAGATAGTATTGTGTATTTCTTTATTTAGATTATGAACGTTCAGTACTTGGTAACAATAGCTCTTAAAGGGGAAAAGTCATCCTGTATTAGTAAGACAATGTCATGTACCTTCTGTAGATGATATTGATTTGACATAATAGAGCTATACGAAAACATTGTCTCTTACACATATGACCTGTTTTTTTTTACCATGCTTTTAACTTTTCTGTTTTTATTTTTGCTTTTACTGTTTATAAAACAATTATGCCAGGTGAATACTAAAAAGAATCTAATTCATAGTATTTTTATTTTGATTCAACAGAAACATACCACTTTTGAGCAACCTGCCTTTCCTGTTTCAAAACAGACACCACCATTATCAGCACCCAAACTGATTGATCCAAAATCTCTTTGTAGCACACCAAGCAACGATACCTTGGATGAGTACATGAGTTGGTAATTACTTTTGGCACTTAACTTGGGGAGGCAGGGTGGGTACAGGTACAGTGGTAATAAAACGGCTATTGAAGTCAAGTAGTTCTCCTGCTTTGTTCCCTTAATGACTTTAAATTCCTCATTTTCTCCTCTTTAAAATAGAGGGGGAAGGTAATTGCAGTAGTATATAGTTAGAAGCATTGTTGTGAAGTTGGGCTTTTTCGTTGTCTAATCTATCCTTGATCTTACTTGCTGGAATTCATAGATGACTCTCCAGTGGGTTTTTAGAGGTTGTAAGTCAGACAGGAGCAGACTGCCCATCTTTTTCCCTCAGAGCAACTGATGGATTTGAAGCCTTTGTGTTGGCAGCACTACTCTACCTCTAGGCCACCAAATCTCCCTAATCTGTCGTGATAGTTTATAAATACTCTAAGGCTGCTATGCTTCTTTATAATCTTTTCATTGTCAAAAGCATACTACTATGATACATATTTTTAAGTTAGCTTTCTTAGAACAGATAAAGGGTAGAGAAATTTTATAGCAAAGAAAATGTTAGCTGGAATAATTTCTAGAAGAGGTTGGTTGAATACATAATCCTGGGATGAATAGAAATGAAAGGTGAGTAAAGAAATTGGATAGTCTGTGCTGACTGACAAACACAAGTGTTATCGTAAAAACAAATTGATGGTATTTCAAAGAAATTGAAAGGTTACTACACATTGTGACCTTTAGTTGCTGGTAGTATTTGAATATATTTTCAACATAATTAAAGATAATTCTCTTTGTTGGTTTTTGTTTCTCATTTTTATGATTTAATCTTTGTTTTCATTAGAATTGGCCTTGGTGGATATATAACCTATTTCTTATCTATTTAATATACATAGTTCTGCTATACATTAGTTAATTTTACTCTACTTGGGATATGTTGAGATTGATTGTTAACGACAGTAGCATAATAGTAGATTGAACATAAAAGTAGATTGTTTTCATACAGCTTTGTGGTACAAAAGTATTCTGTTTTGAGTTGAGTACATAATAGTGAACAAAATAAAGCACAAATGTGAACTGTACAGATTTAACTCAACAGTCTAACAACTTTGGTCTCTCCTATTTCTAGCAGACTGTTGTAGAACATCATTGTGAAAATGTCCTGCTAATAACTGTGCTCAACCATGTTGCCATTGCCTTGGCTCAGTCCTTATAAAAAAAAAACCTGCCAACTCTCTATTTTTAAATACCATTTATTTTAAAACATCCAATTTTTATATGAAGATGGAATAAAATTGTTGGCGGTGATATGTAAAATAAATATATGAAATGAAAACTGACTTGGATTCTGTGTGAATCTTTTGAGTTTTTAGCAGTTTTTTTAAAAAACCTCTTGTAATCTAAATCAGTCTTATTTTCTAAACTTTAATGTTTTAAAATAATTTCTTTCCTAGTTTTAGAACTCCAGTTGTACAGAATGACTTTCGATCGGCTTCTCAGTTGTCAGCACCTTCTAGCCAGCCTGCTCATTTCCAGCAGCAGATACCAGCTACACCACTCCAGAATTTACAGGTTTGATAAGCTACTGTACTTAATTAATTTTGTACTTGTATTATTGTTGTTTTGGGGTTTTGTTTTGTTTTGTTTTTAAACATCTCTGGTGGCTTCGTGCTTGATAAGGAATTGTACTGCCAAACCAAAAGCGTGTGTTTGGATCCCCTGGCGGCTCCAGAGGTAGGCAGTCTCCTCATGGAAATTACTGCCTCTGGTGCCCCACTTCAGAACTGACAATGAGCAGATTCTGACCCAACAGTCCCTAACTGCAACAGTTCTCAGGAAAATGTTAAGAATTTGTCTGTTCTTATCTCCAAAACTCTTAGGGTATGTTCCTAGTGATTTAAGATGTTGGATTTATAGAACATAAAGCTTATTATGTTTTTCATATTAATTATGCCAGAAGATCCAGTTTGAATGATAAGTTTGCTTTTGTGACGTTTTTATTCTACTTAACGATTAAAATCAGATCTAAGTGGGTTGATTTTATTAGTTGAGGAATATGTCATTTATTTGGACATATAAATGTTGAAAACTATCAGGTTAGAACTAGGAAGAGTGTCTTAGTTTTTTACTGTTGCTATGACATAAATAGCACATGTAAGTTGCTTTAATGAATAGAAATCTACTTTCCCGCAGGGTTAAAGGCTAGAAAGCGGAGTTTAAGGCACCAGCTCTTAAGGAAGTTTTTCTTTCTGCATAGGCTCTGGTATTAGGTCTTTTTCTCTTTTCTGTACGTTGGTTCTTTGACAGTCTTTGTGTCACCTGTTTCTCACTTGTGTGTCTCACCTGCTTTTTAGGTCTTAAAAGCAATTGGCTTTATACACAGTCTACATTGGTTTGGCCGCATTAACATAACAAAACTTTCTAAATGAGATTACATCCATAGATATTGGACTATTGCTCCATCCAGTGTTTTGAGGAGACATAGTTTAGCTCCTAATCGGTGCTACTTGTCATTGGTTAGGTGACTGTGAGTTGGTTCTACCATAACACAAAATGCACCACCTGGTCCTGCACCATGCTCAAAGTTATTGCTGTGGGTTGTTTTTTTTTTGTTTGGGTTTTTGTTTTTGTTTTTGTTTTTTATTTCAGTGAACATCTACAGAGATTTTGGAATTCCATTCATTC